GCGCACGTGTGGGTTTTAATAAAAGACATTGAAAGTTGACAATTTAAGTTGATCATGGCCTTTCTTTTTTGCTCATGTTATGAACATTCAAACCCTTGTCTTTTTAGAAGTACCGTGGCCCCTAAACATAAGAGAGCATCTGCTAGTCTTGCCCGTTTGGGTCTTATCTCCATCTTGCCACCTACCTCTTTTTTCCCCTAGTATCAAGAAGACAGACTGACCAGGATCCTGTCAGAGGTTTCTTAGTACCAGTAGCATCATGGATCATTAAGATAAATACTGGCAAATTCCCCAAATGCTTTAGATGTCAATACTCAGAGTGTGGTTCCTGGCCCAGCATATCCCCATCACCTGGAACTTACTAGGATGCAGAATCTCAGGTCCCACCTGAGAACCACTGAGGCAGAATCTACATTTTAGAAAGATCCCTGGGTGAATCATATAGACACTAAAGTGTGAAAAATGATGCTTCAGTGAATCCTCTAGAAGGAGCTTACAGGGACCTCTGAAGCCACAGGGCACTTACTAGAAGCAGGAAAGCCTTGGCTGGTGGACCATGCTCTCCAAGGCATAGACGCCCCCTCCCCTTCTTTTATAAAGACACATCCGCTGTGCTGAGTGAGTGCCACCTTCAGAGACAGCAGATGCTAAGTGCCAACTGAATATGGCCTCAACTAGTTGACATCACTTTCCGAAACACCTGGAGTCAGTCCTACAGATGACCAATACTCCCTGGGGTCTGAAGAACTTTAATTCTCAAGGGTTGGCAGCTCTCCGTTTCCAGTACAAGCCTGTTTGGATGGGTGACCATAGATTATTCAAAGGAAGCTTGGTGGACAGCAAGACTATGGAAATGCCAACACTGTTGTCCAGAGTGAGCATAAAGATTTTCTTTCCAGTCAACTGAGAAAATTTTATTGAAGTAGGAACGAATGATTATAATAATCATGAGTAATTTAAATATGCCAGACAGGACTTTTTGGCCTGTCTCCTTTTCCTTACAATCATGTGTGGGTACAGTGAAAGCAAGGACTCTGGGATTCTTACCAGTCTGTTTGGACTCCAGTCTCTGATATGTCTTCTTGACTGTTAAAAATTTGGATCTAGAAGATAAATTTAGACTTACCCACCATAGATGGGAGTGGAGACAGTGGTGGGAATGCTGCATTGTTACATATCTGTGTAAGATCCTTTGGAATTCCAGGCAAATTCTAGTTCTTGTGCTTTTTCTGTCCTCTTCTGCGTGCTTCCAAATTGTACGTAACTCATAAGCGTAGACATTAGCATTACATATTGTATTTTTACAAAGGTGTATACCCAGTACAAAATATTGAAGCATCCATCTATGGGAACAGCACTGAGAGCTGGGAGGGAATCTCCTGGGTGGTCTGGTGGTTAGGCATATGAAGTCTGCAGTCTGATGGCCTGGGTTGGAGTCCTGGCTTTGCCACCTCCTGGGTAACTCCAGGCAAGTTACTCAGCCTCTCTTGGTCCTACCTGTAAACGGGGGATAATAATAGTACCTACCCCATAGGGTCATTATGAAAACCAAAGGCATTAATATCTGTAAAGCTGCTTAAGACGTTGCCTAGCAGATAGTAACTTAACCAGTATTAACTATTATTATTGAATCTGCAGTACGATGAAATTGGTTGCTTCAGTGGCATGCTGAGTGTAGTCCTGAGAATCAAATGAGGAGGCAGATAGAGTTGAGGTTCATATCTTCTTGCTTCCTGCAGTACTAATGACTGGTGACATGGTCCAAAAGCAAGTGCAGCAGAGGAGAGAGGGAGAAGCAGGGGCTGGCGGCAGTCTACTGATGCGGCCGTAACTGCCCTTGCATAACTGACTGCTTGTGCTTTCAAATGAGAAGCAAAATAACATAACATAACTAGATACATTTACGTAAGGCCTTACAGTTTGCCACCCAGGGCCACATTCCCTTTCTCATTTAATCTCCCTAGTTTCTCTGTGAGATAGAGCAGGTGTCACAGTTCCCGCTTTACAGAGGAGGACGCTGAGGTTCAGCAAAGGCAGTGGCTTGGCAGAGGTGCCCAACAAGAGCCCTGGCTGCTGGATGCCAGTTTCAGTGCCTTTTCCACACATCCTCTCAACGAATCTGCAGACTCTGAGCTGAGATGCCTTAAAAGTCCAGAAGCCATTGAGAACTGCTTCTCTTCTTTCTCCCTTCTGTAAGGGCAGGACCTGATCAGCTCTTGAAATAGCATCCAAACACTTCCTGCCAAAGGGAAGGGCCTCCCATGTGGCTGATGCTCTAGATCTATAACTACGTGCTTTGGATTCACATCGAAGTGAGGTAGGAAGCCAGGAAGAGGAGAGAGGGGAAGCCTGGTTTCATGCTTGGCTTGTTGGATCCCCATCTACAAGCCACGCTAGGTCCAGGAGAGAGAGGGTGTTGAGGGGTACCTGTGGTTTGGGTCCATGTGAATTACCTAAGTGTATTATGAGGAACAACCAATGGCACGTCCTTCTAGGACAAGATGGCAAATATGTAGATATATACCTCAACTGTGCTCTCTTTACCCATGACAGCCGTTGCGAATTAACCATGGTCTTTCCTTCTGAGCCTCAGAATCCTCCTGAACCCAGGGCTCTAGGCAGCCACTACCAGTCCGATTTGTTAAGTGAGGGGCAACCCATTGGCCATTCCTCTCTTAGGTATCCCTTCAGTGCAATGAGGAGTTACATTTATTGTTGAATTAATGCATCTTCTTTTGGCATTTAGTTGATTCTGGAGTTCTTCGTAGTGGCAACAATATTTATATTTTATCACCTATTTAAATATTACCACTCATTTGACACTTTTCACCTTGCTGTGTCATCAAGCAGCTCTTCAAATAAAAATTGAACACCAGGGGCCTGCCCCGTGGCATGGCGGTTAAGTGCATGCACCCTGCTGCTGGCGGCCCGGGTTCAGATCCCGGGTGTGCACCAACGCACCGCTTGTTGGGCCATGCTGAGGCGACATCCCACATAAAGTGGAGGAAGATGGGCACAGATGTTAGCTCAGCGCTAGTCTTCCTTAGCAAAAAGAGGAGGATTGGCATGGATGTTAGCTCAGGGCTGATCTTCCTCACAAAAAAAAAAATTGAACACCAAAATATGAGTCATTGTTCATTGTAACCAATGAAATATTGGGGAGCCTGGAGATTTTCTACTTTAAGTATCAAAACATGGCATCATGTTTTGTGAAAATGCCTTTTCTCTCTCTTTAGAGGCAAACTTGATCTTTTATTCTGTCTGCTAAGATATGGAAGGGAGGCAGTAGTAGGAGAAAGGGGCTTCTCCCTTCTCCCATGCACACAGGTTAGTACAAACTGTCTGGGCAAACTGAGATGCACTCCTCCTGCTCCACCGCTCCAGGTCAGCAGCGTCTCTTGGAGACAGCGGCAGCACTCAGCTCTAAGGGGAAAGCGCATGCCTGCAATTGGCTCTGTCCACCTTGGCAGGCCACATGCATGATATGACTAATAGTGCCTGGCAGGTGATTTTGTCCTGAGCGTGTTCACAGGGCTCCGTGAGACCTACAAGAATGGGGGTTCGAGAACTTCAGAGTAAAGGCGTTATTTTGATCAGGACTCTGCTTGTCCTTTCCTCATTTAAGCATTTGGGAGGGAGTGGGAAGAAGGGATGGTGGGGGCAGGGCACAGGGGAGGCAGTGCAATGTAAACAGAATGGTCCATCTTGTTTTGGTGTCTTAATGCAGTTAGTGTTTGGATCATAGGGCTGGTCGATGAGGTTGCCTGAAAGTGATTAATCAGGGGGCCACCATGTGAGAAAGTGCTTTGGCCCCGTGCAGACTGTAAATCTCGTGGGGGAGCTGTGGGATGGAAGCCCCGCCATCACAAGCAAGGCCCAGGAGCGCCCCAGGCCGTGGCTTCCTGCCACCACTAGAGCTTTTGGTTCGTATTGATCAGGCCTGGCAAATGGCACATAATCCCACTATCTACAAGTATACTGTGAAAATTTGGATCTATTTCACTGAAGTCTTTTTTTCTATGCATGTATATAAGTTTTAAGAAAGTCTGTATCATAATGAAAATGCAATTTTTATCATGTTCTTTTTACACTTATGAGCTTTTTTTTTTTTTTTTTTTTTTTGGGTG